AATTTCATTTAGGTATGGTGGAAAATTAAAGCATTCGTATAGGTTAAACATTATGAAAAGTTTTTTATATATTTAATACTTATTTTGGGATTTGGCGCGAAGTTTTTATTTGTGTTTTTAATTTCGCTACTTAGATAAAATATCAAGCAACTGGTTTTAATTTTCATCGCATTCTATTATACTTAATACGTTGTCAAAATATATATTCAGTTTGTTAGCTTTTAAGCAATTTGATATCAGCTACTTGTTTTTGTTAGCACAATTTTTTCTAAAATTAATTTATTATTCATGAACTGCTTACTGCCTTATTTAGTTTGCATTTAAATTCTTTTCTGGCAGTTTATAGCAAAAAATCGTTTGCGCATGCGTCACCAAATCACCACACACGTATTTCGAACATTCAGATTTTTTCGTCAATATTTGACATCAATGAGCTGCTGGCAGTTATGTATATTTTTTTTTTTATAATTTTCCACTATTGTACTCGCCTTAAAGTTTAAGAGCGAAATACACCACACAAGCGGTTTGACAAACCAAGCGAAATTTCCCTTTGCTTCAAGCCATTTGTGCTGTGTATGGGGGTGTTTGAAGGTTTGACAAACCGCCGTCAAACCTTCAAACACCCCCATACACAGCACAAATGGCTTGAAGCAAAGGGAAATTTCGCTTGGTTTGTCAAACCGCTTGTGTGGTGTATTTCGCTCTTTAGTCGCCAGCGAATTTTTTTTTATTTTTTTTATTTTTATCACAAAAACAAAGTTTATTTAAATTACGTTTCAATACACATTGATTCAAAAATTTTCATTTCACGCTTTTTATTTTCTCATTTTCTGCAAAAACTTGATTTGGCTTGACCGCCGTTTTGCCGTCGCATTTTTGTTTGATTTTGTTTACATCAATTCAAGATTTTTACCTGCTTCTACAAACACACTTCACAATACTCGTATCTTCAAATTTTTTTCTTGCCTAAACTACTTTTGTTTTTGTTGTTTTTTGTTTGCCATTCGACCAGCCAACGTTCACGTAAGACACGTCCGCACGCCACGATTCATTCTCAACAAATGTTGGTTGCTCCGGCACTGCAGCTGGTCTTAATTGCGCCGCTTCCAAGGTGCTCTTCAGTGTGGTGAGTTTCACCTGTATAAAGCGCGTCTTGAAAGCAGCTAAAATACTGGTTTAAATGTGCTCAAGTGTTGCTTGTTTTGTTTTTGTCAAAAGAAATTTTAGGCGCAGTGATTTAAAAAATTTCTACTCCAAATTATTTTAAAGCTAGAAGACTTAAACAGAACAAAAAATAAAAAAAAAAAATACATTAATTACATAAAGAAGACAAGTAGAGTACGCAAATTGTTTTCATTAGAAAATCCGCAGTGGGGGTTTTGGGGTTCGATAAATCTGAATTTGTACTTTATTTTTACCAAAAACGGTCGCTGGGTGCGCTTTGGTGCACAAAAACATGAAGAGATATTCTTTGGCAACATTGTTGAGAAACATAATTTGCACTTTCCATCATGTTCCCGGCTGGTTCGAAATGGTAACCGAGAACCAGTAGGACACAGGGGAAGAAGCAAAAATTATGCCACTGCTCACCAACTGCCATCTCAATAGCGAAACGCCGAGATGATCCAAATAGGGAAATACTGCATAATACTGAGCAAGCCATTCCTGATAAGCTGCAATCGACTCCGGTAGCCGAAGAGGCACGTGCTAGAAACGAAGTCTCCTCCTAGGCACTTCAGAAGGACTCTCTGTGAACTGAAGTTCGTGATTCAGTACCTAGTACGTTAATCACTGAACTCGACGATATATGTACATTGTACATTCAGGCACTTTTGATCGAAACAGCATGTCTGCTGAGCCTACCGTTAATTCAGCTTGACTACGACGATTGTAAGCTAAGCTTATCTAAGCAAGGCTAAGAACGTTTCAAAAATTACACTGTGCCAAACAAATTAAAAGAATGGGGTACGGCAAATATGAAAACAGAATAGCTCTAAAATATTGGACCACCTCCCTCCCGTTTTGTGCCTATTTAAACGTAACAATTTTTTTCTTTAGTGTATAGAAGTTTTCCTAATTTGGTTTCAAGTTGATCTTAAGTATTTGAAAAAATCTCGTATAAAAGTACATTTACCGTTAATTTTGTCTTTAAGAAGCTATAGTAAAATTTAATAGGCATATTTTTGTCCACTATTTCTCACCCGAGTGGGTCGCTTTGACCTTTGGTTGCGTCAAATTTAGTAGTAACGAAAATTTTTCTCCATCAGGTTGACCTATTGATCTGAAATTTGGTACGCACCTATAGTTCCGACGACAATATAATTATGCATATACAGTATCATTTGTAAATCCGATATGGCCATCGCTAAAAAGTGGCGGGTTACATATTTAGCCTAAACAAGGGTCAAAACTACCCAAACGGGTTAAAATATTCTACAAAAATATGCACTGGTAAATTTTATGCAGATCTTTAAAGAGAAGATTTTTGGTAAATTAACTTTTATAGGAGATTTTTTCAAATAATTAAGATCAACTTGAAGCCAAAAAAGAAAAATTTCCAAACACTGTAAAAAAGATTTGGAACGTTTCGATCCAAAACGGCAGTTCATCTAATATTCTGGGGGTCTACGTCTTGCATGATTACGACATACCCGATTTTTAATGCCAGTATATTCTGGAATAATAGCAAGTTTGATAATACATGATAAATCGGTTTATCAAGTCTGTGAGTTCCCGCCCATTTGCAATTTTGTTTTAATAGTCGTATGGCTGGGCACACTGCAATGACTTGATCGATATCTTTTTCTTTTCTAGACATTTTGGTATATGTATATCTATGCCATGTTGAACATCCTTTTGACCAACACTTTCACACCTTTTCACCAATTCGATTGCTAGTGGAATTTGGAAATGTACTCTTCACCATACATTGAGACCAGTATTTCTGCTCATCGCATATTTTTTTGTTTTCTTTCTAGAAACCAGTTAAAATATTGTTTAGAATGAGCATGTGAAGTGAATCAGCGGAAAACACGCGCTTTCGTTCGTTTTGCTATATCTCTCACATCATTATTCTTGTTGAGCTCTTTAAAAGATTTTAATCTAAATCAAAAGCCTACATTTAGGCAGAACATACTGTCGTCTCTACTACAGTCAGTGCAGCCATAGGTAGTGTAGGGCAAGTAAATGAATATCAGAGTAAGCACATATAACACATTTAAAAAACAAAAAAGTAAGTGCGCCTGGGCTACACTGAAGAAGTGAAACATACGTTACATACATATCTATTTTGTCTCATAACCAATAAACATACATATATATGTAAATACATACATACATCTGCATTTGCTTAAGGTTATATTTTTTGTATTTTTTTTTCTATCTAGATCCCTACCTGTACCCTCTTCGTTCTAATTACATTTATGTTATTCTGTTTTCCTTTATCTTCATTTATCAATAACAAATTCGATGAAAAATTCGATAAAAATGTCGATAGAAAATCGATAATAATATTGGTAGCAAAATTTATTAGAAACTCTATAAAACTATCGATAAAAATATCCATACAAAATCGCTAAAAATGTACATAACAAAATCGATAAATATCGATAGCAGAATCCATAAATATCGATAACAAAATCGATAAAAAATCGATAACAAAATCGATAAATGTATAAAAAATCGATAAATATCGACAACAAAATCGATAAATATCGATAACAAAATCGATAAACATATCGTTAGTCAAATCGATAAAAACAGCCATAACAAAGTCAATAAATATCGATAAATAACGGTAACCAAATCGATAAACATTGATAACAAAATCGATAAAAATGTCGAGAACAAAATCGATAAAAAATATCGCTAAAAAAAGTTAAAAATATCGCTATCAAAATAGGTACAAATATCGATTAAAAAATCGATAACAAATCGATAAAAATGTCGATAACAAAATGGATAAAAATATCGATTATTATATCGATAGGTTCCGAAAATAGCAATAGAAAAATTGGTAACAATATCGATAAAAAAATCTATAAAAATACCGATATAAAACTGATAGAAATATCGATTATTTTATCGATAAATTCCGAAAATATCGATAGCAAGATTGATAACAATATCGACAAAAATTTCTATAATTAATCGATAACATAATCGATCACAAAACCGACAAAATATCGATTATTATATCTATAAGACCCGAGAATCCCGAAAATCTCTAAAATCCCAAAATAGTTTCCAAATTGAGTCTCTGTGTCTCTCTCTATATCCTTTCCTCTTAAATTACCATTATTTTAATCTTTCTTCCCTTATCTTTATCTTTATCTTTACTTTTATCGGTATCCTCATCCTCCTCTTTGTCTTTACTTTCTCATTTTCTTCATCTACATATTTCCCTTCACCTTTGCCCTTACATAAATAAAGTGTTTAAATTTACCTTAGTCCCTATTTTTGCCTATATCTTTACGCATATTTGCTTTTATTGTTACTTTTGCCTTTATCCTTTTCCTTATATATGTACGTAGTCGCCTTTACCCTCATTCTTGTATTGGTCTTTATCTAAGTCTTATTTCTTAACCTTTATTAGCACGTTTTTGTTGAATTAATACCATTTGCATACACACAAGAAGCACTTGTTTCAGCCCCATTCATTTCCGTCGCACCATTTCTTTTGCATCATTTCCGTTACACCATTTCCGTGCGCAATTTCCGTTGAATTTGCCAATTTACTTCCAACCAACCAACCGCCGCTAAAGAAGTTTTACTTCAAAAACACACAAATTTTACTTTATTTAAACTTAACTATTTATTTCCATTTATTAACACGTCTAATAAATATTGCTGCATTAAATAAAATAATGTAAACTTTAACAAAAACAATTTCACTTAATAATTTAACAAGCAAAATACGAGTATATATGAACCAAAATCATAGATTTATTTATAAACACAAAAAATATATAATTATTTGTAGATCTCGAAGAAGTCGCCTATTTAAATATACTTACATGCACCTTCATTAGTAATATAAATATTCAGCACCAAAATTCAGCGCCTTGAACGTCTACCTTTCTCTTTCCCACCTACAACGCATCGTCTACTTGAAATTTGATTAGGTCCTCCACTGGGAAACGAAAAAGCGAAGCTGCCTGGGCCTCCGATGCCATTTGATCAACATCCGCTGACTCGTTGTATCGTTGAAATCGACTGCGTCCCTCAAAGCGTTCGTAATGCGTAGAGTTCTCCGCCCCATCCAATTTATTGCTTACCAAAGCAGCCGCATGTGGCTGATCTGTAACTTCCGCAGCCACTATAGGATGTTCAAAATCGACCAGACCTTCCGGATCTGAGCTGTCGCTACGCGAAACTGGTTGTTCTGGCGAATTAGTCGAATTGGAATTAGAATTGGAGTTGCGTGCTTGATGACGCGGCTCAATGGGCGACAGCGACTCGCGTTCCTCCATGATAATGTGACGATTTATATTTTGACCCGCATTATAGAAGGGATTATTCGATGTCGGCACTGCGAGTGCCTGTTGTTTTTGTTTTGGGAAAACATTTAAGTGTACCAAAATTTGATTTTGATTGGCTTTGGCGGCGGCACCGGCACCGGCGCCGGGACCGCTAGCGCTGGCACTCGAGGCGCTACTCATGTGGGACATATCGAGTGGCATAAAAGGTGTTTGAAATTGAGATTTCGACACATGGTCGGGGAAGGTCAATTGCATATTACTCGACTGCGACATATGCGGTTGTAGTTGGGGCTGCGCGGATGACGAAGGAAAGCGGAAAGGCATGAAAGCCGGTTGATCGTATGCATTATGGAAGCCATAGGCGGCGGTGGACGGAATCACTGGCATGTGGTAGTAGTCGAGAAAGGGATTGCGTACTAAATGAGGTCTGCGTGTAGACGGGGCAAGTTTGACTTCATCATAAGTGAAGGCAGCTGGCTTGAAATCTTTTGCAGGCGGTATCACTGGATAGATGTCTAGATTGACTTTGAAAGGCACGCGTGTCATTTTCCCTTTCTGCGCCTCACCGATATCCAACATTGGCTGATAGCTCGCCATGTAGGGTTCTGTGGCGAATGGTCGTTGATTGCTGAATTGTTGTAGCATTAGATTCGCGTTGGGGTTCAACTGTTTCTGTTTGTTCTTCTTCTTATTCTTCGAGCGATTCCCTTGCAATTGTTGCTGCAATGCCAGCAGATTTACGTCATTCGGCGATCGTGGCTTAAATGGATATATCTGATCCATAGCAATGCGCTGTTGATAGGCGGCCGCATGTGGCATCATACCCATCATAGGCGCCGGGAAGGGTTTCAACATTTGCATATTCATTGGCATTGGCATGGGTATGGTGAATTGCATCTGCTTTTTGTTGCGTTTGCCACGAAAGAAGTTCGCGATGCCGCTGGATTTGAGATTCTTGAAAGTGCCCGCAATGTGCAGTCCCGTGGGCATCATAACCATTGGGGGCACTTTGCTTGGACCACCGCCCAATTGCAGCTGATGGAGTATGTCTTGTATATTATGCACATCACCGCGCTCCTCGTCGGCACCCTGTGTGTTTTTGAATTCCTGCGGCAGCGGACCCTCGTGCGGAAAGTGAAACGGTTTCGGTTTCTCTTCATTTTTATATGTCGAGTTGAGCGGTATATCCATGTACTGCCGCCTGTGCAGCATCATCGATGGCTGGCGTGATGTGAGACGCGGTGGGCGTGGTATCTGATCACGCAGTTCACTTCGCACTGGCGTCATTGTGGACGAGCGTCGTGGCAGCTGTTCGTACAGATGCAACGATTGTCGCTGGCGTGTTTCGGCGATACTTGCGGCTGGCTGATAATCACCGTTGTCAATGGCGCTGGACTTTCCTTCAGCCATGCTGAACGGACCGACGCCGATGCCGCCGGCACCAACGAACGGTGGCGGTTGAGGTCGTCTCGCTTTCGTGCGCCATGTTCCATAAATGGGTTGCTCATACACCGAACTGCTGCTGCCAGCAGTCTCACCACCAACGCCGCCAACATCGGCACGCTCTAGTAAATATGCAGTTTCAGCGCGTTCGCTAGCGTGCAACTTTTCCTCTGGCTCGTAGTGTTGTTGTGGTTGTTGCTGTTGTTGTTGATGTTGTTGAGTGGTTTGTTGCTGGTGCTGTTGCTGCTGTTGTTGCTGGTGGTATTGTTGCAATTGTTGTTGTTGTTGCATGTGCGCTTGTGCACGCATCTCCTCTAAGCCGTCGATTTTGATGTGATTTGGTGTTCTGAGAGGCCGCGTACGCGGCTGTACGGCATGTGTTGTTGGCAACTCTGTGCGCAGCTGCACCTCTTGGCCATCAATCTGCACAACAGTGGGCAGTGTGGTGTCTGCGCTTGTGGGCATATAGCTCTGTATATTGCGGGTTCGCAATGCTGCTGATTGATTTTGATAATATTCCGCTGTGGATGCGACCTTCACTATCATCAGTGACATCTGCGAGCGGGAGAAAATAAGAACATCGAACAGAAAAAGTTTTTAGTCAAATTTAATTCGAAAATTTTAATCTGGCCGAGGCTGGATCAATAAAAAATATAGCCAAAATGCATAAATCTATTGAGGGTTGGCTACAGGTTCCTTTAAAAAAAAAGTTCTACTTCTCAATTTGGACCAAAAAAAAAATCTATTAAAAAACCACAAAAACATAAAATTAAAATCTGTGAAATAATGTCCTAAAGAATAAATTAAATAAAATAAATATATATATTTTTTATTCAACCAACACCAACACATATATATTTTTCTTTTTAAATCAGTAAAACATACAAATTAAAAGGATATGAAATTAACATCAGAAAAAAAATTTAAAAAAGAAGAAATAAATAAAGTATATGTATTCTAGAAACGAAATGAATTCAAAAGATTTTTTTTTTCAAACAGTAAGTTCTAAAAACAAAAAGAATATTAAACTAAAAAAAAACAAATAATTAAAAAAACAGAAAAAAATAAATCCGTAAATTTTAATTAAGTAAAACAAATATACATATATATATATTTTTCCTTTTAAAACAATAAAATATAAAAGTTATAAGAAAATGCAATTAACAAAAGAAAGAAAAAGAAGAATTAAATGAAAATTAAATGAGATTAAAAAAAATTCTTTTTAAACCATAAATTTTAAAAATTAGAAGAAACTTTAACTAAAAAAATAAAAAGATGAATTAAAGGAAGAAAGAGATTTTAATTTCCAAAAATTATATTAAATAAAAGAAATATATTTTTCCTTTTAAAGAAATAAAATATAAAAATTAAAAGAAACTAAATTAAAAAAGAAACAAATTTTAATTAAAAACAAAGAAAGCAATGTAAATTAACAAGTAATGTTTAGCAAAAAAAAACCTACTTAAAAAATATATATATATACATACATATTTCGTGATCCAATGATCGGATCTAAATCACATTAGTATGGGACCACCCCTGAGACACTACCTTTACGTTGCAAAAATAATTATCGAAATCGGTTGACGTGGTCCAAAGTTATGCGGTAACATATGTACTGACTGACTGTAACTGATAACCTCCTCCTTCTTTGGAAGTCGGTTAAAAAAGAGAGTTCCGCTGAACGAGAATTCGCACTCGGTTCTCTTGAATGGCACGCCTGTGATTTGCTCACTCGGTCAAAAGCGCTTTCTACATATCGATGGTCCTGTGCAATAACGACACAATTGAAAATTCAAGAAACAAAAACTCTAACGACTGTTAAGTGGCTCATGTGTGGCTTGCTTTAGCAGCCCTTACTGCTTACTTTAGTAAGGGATGGAAATGGATTAGACAATGATTTCAGACAAGAGCCACTTAACAGTAGTAACAGTTTTTGTTTTTTTTTTTTGAATTTTGAATTGTGTTTTTATTGCACGGGACCATCGATATTAAAATCGTGTATCATCACGAGTAGGGATTGAGAGAACTTTTTTTTCTGAGACTTTCCAGCTAGAATAACAAAAATCTTTCGAATTATTTTGCCATCTGTACTCCATTTGACTTTTTACTATCTTAGCGCCAGAATTGCCCTGTAAACTTCAAGTTGTGGGTTTTCAAATGCACCTATGAGTACTTAATGCTCGTATTTTCCTTTTCTACGAACCGTGCTTGTTCTTCTGACAAGCCCTATATGGTCAAAATTCCTCAAAGGGACTGCCGTAAAGCGATAATAGCTATGATAGGGGACAAGTATGGTGTACCGATGGATGAAAGATGGAAGGCGGGAGTACTGGGGAAGCCGTGCTTGCTTATGGACTCATACCCAACCCATATTCCAGGCGGAAGTCTTCACAAGCGAATTCTGTGTTCAAGAATTTCTTCAAAGAAGAACATACATGGCCAGAATAAATATTATGTCAGATAGCCAGGCAGCACTAAAGGTCTTAGACTCATTTAGTACGACATCAGTGCTTGTGGACAGTTTTAAAACTTCTCTGAACAGCCTAGGAACCCATAATAGAGTTACGCTGTGGTGGGTCCCTGTGCATAAAGGGTTTAAAGGCAACGAAAGGGCTGACTATCTAGCAAACCGTGGAGCCCAAATGCGCATGTATGGGCCCGAGCCTTTTTGCGATACATCTAAAAGATAAACTGCGGAGCTACTAGGAGCTGGGGAAAAATCTTAGATTGCTGCCCACTAGCGGAAGTCAAAGCCAATAAGACATCCGAGCGATTCCTTGAACTTAGCCAGGAGGGTCTTTGGACCTCCAGAGAGGACAGGCTGCCTGAGAGGACACTGCAAGTTAAAGTGCAATTTGAATAAAATGGGGCTTTCTGTATAAGCGGGCTGTAGCATATTCTATGTGATTGCTCACGTATGATGAATCGCAGACTGATACACCTTGGAGAACAATTATCTGCTCCATCCAAAATTTGGAACATGGCACCCTCCAATGTGCTTAATTTCTTAAATAGCTTAAGCTTCATTTAAAGTGCATAAATCTCAAGAGAAGTAAGTACTTATCTGAAATCCGCAGATAAAAAACTCATTGGTCTGTTATCAGTAAAGAAATGTGTAGCACAGGGATTTCAACGAACACATCAACGCATGCATTTTTTTTTTTATGCGTTTTTTATTAACCAAAGTTTTGTCGTATTTTAGCCCAGCTCTAAATATTGATTACTTTTAGCCTATTTGATATTTGCCTACTCGCAACGTTAATGCTTTCCAATAGTAAATTCATTAAGCTCATTAAAAGTCTCAAATCTCAAATCTAACGCCAATTGCTGCTTAAGAACTTTATCTTCAAAATTTTCATAATCGCTATACTTTCTCAACAGAGACTTACAAATATAATACACATGAGTAACATTCCGACGATCCACGTGAAAACGCCGACGTTCACAAAATTACGTTGCTTCAGCAATTCCTCTTTGAATGTATCCAATTTTGCATATGGTATGAGATCCTTGAAAAACATTTTCTCAATATCCTTTAAAACGACAACCGCACAACAACTCCACTGTGTGTTTGCAAGTAAATAGCTGCTACAATTAACGCCTCAACCGGATTGTAATTCACAGCCAAAATTGCACGACTTCTGATACATTGCGCACACAAAACACAACTGTGTGGAAAATAGCACCGAAAAAGTGTAAAGACTGTGGCGCAATGGCGATTAAAAGGAAAGTTCCACTAAATATCGAGTAAAGCTCGCGTTTTGATGCTTGGCTACACGCATCCATTCGACATAAATGCATAAGCAACTAGGTATGTAATAGATGTTTGTACATACATATATTTGCTTTTGTAAGTTTGTGCATAATCAAAGAGCGCTGAAGAGTAATAGCAGCTAAAGAAATTGTATTTAGTAGGTGTTGTTGCGAAGTAGCTAAGTACGTCCACATTTGTTCACGAATACAAAAAAATATCTACATGCACATATGTATGTACATACGTAAGTATGTATGTATTAAGTTCATAAATACTTAGATCCATAACATGATTTCATGATTAATCTCAAACAAACAAAAAAATGCAATAATTATTCGTACAAGTGACTACTCAATTACAACAAGAAAAAAGAAAAGCTAAGCAATTGGTTGCATGTTGCATTGCAGAGGATCGCATTTATTTATTTATTTCTTGTGGTATACTTGAAATCAAAATTAGAAACCGTAAAATTGCAGCAAGGCCCATTCGCACCAGCCACGTTTTTGACAATGAAAATGACGCTTGAACTAAATACAGCCATTTACTTACACTAAACAGTGAAAATTTTACACCCAAGGAACTGAAAGTGGTTGCGCATATTTATGTATGTAGATACACGTATGCATATCTAGGCATTAATGTTTGCGTACATACTATGTGACATACATATATGTATAGCAAAGTTAGGATGGCTCGCCAAAAAATTTGCTCCAATATCTTTGTGGCTTGGTAATGTTTTATTAGGGAACTAAGCAGAGACCGAATATAACCGTTAAAGATCTTTATTTTTAGATCATTGCAAAATCGTTATTTATATTTTTTTTGTTTTCGATCAAGAATAATCGTTAAATTAATTTTTTTAGTCAAATGTAATCGTTCTTTTGGACTTTTTATTTCTTTCAATCATTCTTAACCGATAGAATGGATACTGAGATTTTACGACCGATTTGAATCCTTTATGATCTAAAAAAATAAATCTCAAAATAACGTTTAAAAATTCACCTAAAAAACAAAAGTCCAAAAATAACGATTATTTCTAATCTAAAAAATTAAAAATCGTAAAATAACGGTTAAATTTGATCGGAAAAAAGATATCCAATGTTAATGGTTAAACTATGGTTTTTATTATTAAAATCATAAACGTTACGGTGCCTGGATTGAGGTCTTTCCTAACACTCCTAGCCTAAGATCGAGGCCACGCAATGATCGACCGAGCGGTGAGCGGCGTTTATTCCTAAGCGACGCCGCCAAATCATTCAGAAATGCCATTCACAGGCCGCTAATTTCGTGGCTACTTCTACAGTATATCATATGTTTTAATTTTAAGCCGCTCACCGCTTTACCGCTCATTGCATGGCCTCGGCCTAAGGAAAATGTTCCCTCATATCCAAGGAAAAGCCTTTGGTGGCGCACAGTGTAGAAAATCGACTTTTTGTGACAAAATATAATAAGGAGAGAAGATAGCGAAATAAATTTGACATTTTTTAAGGCTTTTGAGATGGAAAATTCTGGAAAGATAGCTCCGATGGATAAACAATTTACTTTGGAACACTAAAATTACTTTCAACAATTGGGGGGTTTAAATTTGTTGTTGTAACGGAAGGCCGCATTGATTAAAGCTTACCTTGACATTGAAATACAAGTTCCAGAAGTAATCTTTTATAGTTTCTTCCTTTTTTAACCCGAAAGAACTGCGAAAATATATAAGATTAAAGCTTATACAAAAAATTTTATTTCACACGGTTATCTGGTAAAAAAAAAAAATAAAGCAAAATTAAAACCCTAACATTTTTGGGGTTGTTTAAGGAATCAAAGTAATTTTCTTTTCAAAACGAGGACTATTTTCACCAAATTCTTCATGTCAAAAGCTATAAAAGGTGAACGGTAAATTTTTAATTTTTTCTGTAAATTTGAATAAGTCCAATTTTCATTGCTGGTGGCGGCCACTTGCCCTATGCGCACCTCCCCAAGTCTGGACCTGGTCATAGAAATACATTTGTATGTAAACATGTACTTCATAAACTTTAATACATAGAATATAAAGCACACCCTAATGCGTTTACATACATATACCTAAAACGCCAAGTATCTTTTACAGCACCAAAATTGACAGAAATGCACACAAACACCTACGGGATCTTCTTTCGTAAAACAAATTAGTATGTGTACTTATTACTGTTTTTCTCACTTAAGTTTTAGTAAAATAATATTTAAACTTTGTTTGTATGTAAAACATGCACAGTTATAACTAATTTAAAAAAATGAGTTAAGTGGTTGTACCGACTTATACATGAAAATATGTATTGCAAGCACACAAGAAAGTTCACTTGAAATAATAGTAAGTATGTGCTCGTGAAATTCCAAAAAAAAATTCACCGGAAATTATTTGCGAACATCAAATATTTTCATATTTGCCGGAACTAAATTTAAATGTGTTTATTTGAAAGCACTGAAATATAGTTAGATATTTGATTGTTGTTGAGGGCGTAAACCAATGGTTCGATGACTGCAATTGCTATTTTAAAAAATGTGAAGGCAAACCTGCACACATTACCTGTTTTTCATAAAAGCTAACGGGCCATTGTACAAAAATTAATAAGGGGAAGCGGAAATCCTAATTGAAGATATTCAGATATCAATCAATATTAAATCGTCACTGAATCTTTCGAGAGTTTTATTTGTGCTGAATATGGATATGTTGCAATGGTTTTCATGAAAGAAGTACATTCGCAAGTTTGCTATTGCAATTGCTATTAAAAAAAATCCAAATAATTTTTGGATTTTGGCCAGATCATTGATCGAATCTGGCTAATTTATTTAATGGTTTTTATTTTTAAATAAAATTTTTTTTTAGGTTTTATTTTTTTTTCTCATAAAAATTGTTGATAATTTTTTAATTTAATTTTATTTTTTGATCGAAAATAATAACTCATTAAAATTTAGTAGGATAAAGTTTAAGTTTAAAGTGGCTACAATGTACTCGCAATTTACGTAACTTTTTTTGGTTGACGGCATTGTGCATTTTCTTCTATATAAAGTATGCTCAAAACATAAATTTCTTATGGAATAAAAGGCGCTGGACCGTTTGCAGATTTTCCCATTGTGAATGCTCTCTGTGAGTTCCAGGAAGAGGCACATCCTTCTAACCGAAGTTCTTTAATCCCCCTTCGCATAAAAGAAATCGGTGGCAGTAGGGAGTTATCCGCTTCAACAATTTGCATTTCCGAGCCGTGTTTAGCCCCCTTATCGTCTATTTCGTTCCCTTCTATATTGATATATCCAAGACCCCAGCAGAGAGAGGTTTTGATGTGACTCAGCGAAGCCAGCGTTGCACGACATTTTCAAACTGCTAATGTTTTCAATTCTGCCTCGCTGTCAACGAATAAAGTGACGTTCCCTGACAGATATGTACTTATTATCCCATATGAGACAAGGCGCCCTCTCTATGGAAAATATCTCCGCCTGACAGAAGGTCCTTGGAGTACAGACCCGAGCTGTATCCTTTTCCATCATTGAGCCATCGTTGTAGATGGAAATGCCGTCATTACCAACAAGAGGCCACCTTGCCAATCTTACCGGTTTGGAAAGTATATGGGAATCTTAAAACTAAAATCCCAGGATGACATAAGACAATCAGTTTCGACATCTAATTCGGCCTTTATGCCGTTACGCCGTCCACTATCAATTACCTTCAAGGCCGCTGCGTGCCCGTAGTTGGTATTCTTCCACAGTTTTGATTCGCTCAGTCTAAGAGCCCTTTTTGCGACTGCACCTATTACGAATACTTGTGTGCGCTTCCTCGTAAAATTGGCGTCAATGATAATACCAAAGTACTTCGCCTCGGAGCAAAGGTTCAGACTAGTCCCGTCCAGCTTTGGTAAGCGGAATTCCGGCACTTTTTTTCCTTGTGAACAAGACAAGTTCCGATCAGCCTAATACGATGGTATGAGTTTATGGTTGGTTGTTGTACCAGGGTTGCCACTTAAAAGTTTTTGCATATTATGCCATTAGACAGATCAATTAGCTGCTTCCTTATATAATCCCCTAAGGCCGTATGTCCTAAACAAGACAAAGCTTATCTTTCGCTTAGAATGTGAAATACAGTTCGCTTGCTGCCTTCCAAGCGGTATCTGCGATAGATACTATTGTGAGGAAATCTTATTTTAGGAGCCTATTTTCGTAAGGACCAACAGACGGTTATAGTCGCTCTAACCCTAAACATTTCTACTCTTGTCTTCCTCCACAATTCTCCTGTCCTTGTTCTGCTCTAATCAGACTAAAGCTCGCGGGCTAACTTAAAACTTCGGGTCATCTCTTTCTTGCTATCTATCCTTCAATATTTCGTCCCCCCAAAAGACCTATATCTAGTACCAAACCTATGAAATTGGTTTCATTTGACATACATACTTATGTAATTGTTTTTCTTTCAAATTCCCCAAAGTAAAATAAAAAGACATGATTTTTCGTAAATTTTTCTTGTTTGTATTGATTCGTCAGTAATGTTTCGGCAAGTTGCTGGTTTCTAATAACAAATAGGGGAAAGCTTTCCAGTTTAAATTGATACAAAATATTTAAAAAAACAGCCATATAGGTACATACATAATTTATTGTTTTCAATAAACTCTTTCATACAATGACATTTTACCTTACAAAAATTGGAAAAATTACATCCGAAATACAAAAACAAAATCGTAGTTATTCTTTTCTTTATAAAATAAGTATTTCTAATTGTAAGAGTATTTTTTTTTAAGATAAAACAAAAAGAAACTAAAAATAAAAAAAAAAACATTTGATATTTTTGCTAAAGCTCTTTCGGAGTCGAAAGCAAAAATATCCTTCTCATATTGTCTTGACTAGATGAATCTAGCCATAGTTAGAATGTTGGTACCACATCGCTAGATTTTTAGCTTTCGGCGTTAATGAGTTTCACCACTTTATTAAATAACTTTTAAAAATCGCAGGCTATATCTCTTAACATAAATTTGTGCAATACAACTGTTACAGTTGACACTTAGTACACGAATGGAATGCTGGGCACTGGGTAATGGTAGCCTTCATCCTTGGGAGTTGGTATTGGTTGTGGTGGTGGGGGACGTGTCACTGGTGGTGGTGGTGAGCGCGTTGTTGGCTTAGGCGCTGGTGGTTGTGGTTTATTGGTGGGTGGCAAGTAGGTTGGTGGTGGTGGTGGACGAGTAGTCCTTGGTGGTGGTGGCCGTGTTACTGGTGGTGGTGGTGGGCGCGTAGTAGGCTTAGGCGCTGGTGGTTGTGGTTTATTGGTGGGTGGCAAGTAGGTTGGTGGTGGTGGTGGGCGTGTCGTCTTTGGTGATGGTGGACGAGTCACTGGTGGTGGTGGGCGTGTGGTTGGTCTAGGTGCTGGAGGCTGTGGTTTGTTGGTAGGTGGTAAGTATGTTGGAGCTGGAGTGGTCCGTGGTGGAGGTGGTCTCGTTGTTGGTGGTGGTGGGGGACGTGTTGTTGGTGGTGGTGGAGGACGGGTTGTTGGTGGTGGTGGAGGACGGGTTGTCGGTTTTGGTGCTGGTGGCTGTGGTTTGTTGGTAGGTGGCAAGTAAGTTGGTGGTGGTGGTGGACGAGTAGTCCTTGGTGGTGGTGGCCGGGTTACTGGTGGTGGTGGACGTGTGGTTGGTCTAGGTGCTGGAGGCTGTGGTTTGTTGGTAGGTGGCAAGTAAGTTGGTGGTGGTGGTGGACGAGTAGTCCTTGGAGGTGGTGGCCGTGTTACTGGAGGTGGTGGACGAGTGGTTGGTCTTGGTGCTGGGGGCTGTGGTTTATTGGTAGGTGGCAGGTATGTTGGTCCAGGAGTAGTAGTACGTGGTGGTGGTGGTCTCGTCGTTGGTGGTGGTGGAGGGCGCGTCGTCTTTGGTGCAGGTGGACGAGTCACTGGTGGTGGTGGACGAGTCGTTGGCTTCGGTGCTGGTGGCTGCGGTTTATTGGTAGGTGGCAAGTAAGTTGGTGGTGGTGGTGGACGAGTAGTCCTTGGTGGAGGTGGACGTGTTACTGGTGGTGGTGGACGAGTGGTTGGTTTTGGTGCAGGAGGTTGTGGTTTATTGGTAGGTGGCAAGTAAGTTGGTGGTGGTGGTGGACGAGTAGTCCTTGGTGGAGGTGGACGTGTTACTGGTGGTGGTGGACGAGTGGTTGGTTTTGGTGCAGGAGGTTGTGGTTTATTGGTAGGTGGCAAGTAAGTTGGTGGTGGTGGTGGACGGGTGGTCCTTGGTGGTGGTGGACGGGTAGTCCTTGGTGGTGGTGGGCGAGTAACTGGTGGTGGTGGACGCGTGGTTGGTCTCGGTGCTGGGGGCTGTGGTTTGTTGGTAGGTGGCAGGTATGTGGGTCCGGGAGTAGTAGTACGTGGTGGTGGTGGTCTTGTCGTTGGGGGTGGTGGAGGACGCGTCGTCTTTGGTGCAGGTGGACGAGTCACTGGTGGTGGTGGACGAGTCGTTGGCTTTGGTGCTGGTGGCTGCGGTTTATTGGTAGGTGGCAAGTAAGTTGGTGGTGGTGGTGGACGGGTAACTGGTGGTGGTGGACGAGTCGTTGGCTTTGGTGCTGGGGGCTGTGGTTTATTGGTAGGTGGCAAGTAAGTAGGTGGTGGTGGTGGACGGGTGGTCCTTGGTGGAGGTGGACGAGTTACTGGTGGTGGTGGACGGGTGGTTGGCTTAGGTGCTGGTGGCTGTGGTTTATTGGTAGGTGGCAAGTAAGTAGGTGGTGGTGGTGGACGGGTGGTCCTTGGTGGAGGTGGACGAGTTACTGGTGGTGGTGGACGGGTGGTTGGCTTAGGTGCTGGTGGCTGTGGTTTGTTGGTAGGTGGCAGATATGTTGGTCCAGGAGTAGTAGTACGTGGTGGTGGTGGCCTCGTCGTTACTGGCGGTGGTGGACGTGTAGTCCTTGGTGGTGGAGGTCTAGTTGTGGGTGGTGGTGGTGGACGCGTGGTTGGCTTCGGCGCTGGAGGCTGTGGTTTGTTGGTAGGTGGCAAGTATGTTGGAACGGGAGTTGTACGTGGTGGAGGTGGTCTTGTTATTGGTGGAGGTGGACGTGTAGTTCTTGGTGGTGGTGGACGTGTGGTTGGCTTTGGTGCTGGTGGCTGTGGTTTGTTGGTAGGTGGCAAGTATGTTGGAGCCGGAGTTGTACGTGGTGGAGGTGGTCTTGTTGTTGGTGGTGGAGGACGTGTGGTCGGCTTAGGTGCTGGTGGCTGTGGTTTGTTGGTAGGTGGCAAGTATGTTGGAACGGGAGTTGTACGTGGTGGAGGTGGTCTTGTTATTGGTGGAGGTGGACGTGTAGTTCTTGGTGGTGGTGGACGTGTGGTTGGCTTTGGTGCTGGTGGCTGTGGTTTGTTGGTAGGTGGCAAGTATGTTGGAACGGGAGTTGTACGTGGTGGAGGTGGTCTTGTTATTGGTGGAGGTGGACGTGTAGTTCTTGGTGGTGGTGGACGTGTGGTTGGCTTTGGTGCTGGTGGCTGTGGTTTGTTGGTAGGTGGCAAGTATGTTGGAACGGGAGTTGTACGTGGTGGAGGTGGTCTTGTTATTGGTGGAGGTGGACGTGTAGTTCTTGGTGGTGGTGGACGTGTGGTTGGCTTTGGTGCTGGTGGCTGTGGTTTGTTGGTAGGTGGCAAGTATGTTGGAACGGGAGTTGTACGTGGTGGAGGTGGTCTTGTTATTGGTGGAGGTGGACGTGTAGTTCTTGGTGGTGGTGGACGTGTGGTTGGCTTTGGTGCTGGTGGCTGTGGTTTATTGGTTGGTGGTGGATATGTTAGCGGATTTTCTGGTACACTGTATACATATGTGGTACGCTCAATCGGAGGGCTTGTTACTGGTGGTGGAGGAGGACGAGTCGTCTTTGGTGCTGGTGGACGTGTCACTGGTGGTGGCGGTGGGCGTGTCACCGGTGGTGGTGGTGGACGCGTTGTTGGCTTAGGTGCTGGTGGTTGCGGTTTGTTCGTGGGTGGCAAGTAGGTTGGTGGGGGTGGAGGACGTGTCGTCCTTGGTGGTGGTGGGCGTGTCACTGGTGGTGGCGGTGGACGCGTAGTTGGCTTTGGTGCTGGTGGCTGTGGTTTGTTCGTGGGTGGCAAGTAGGTTGGTGGGGGTGGAGGACGTGTCGTCCTTGGTGGTGGTGGGCGTGTCACTGGTGGTGGCGGTGGACGCGTAGTTGGCTTTGGTGCTGGTGGCTGTGGTTTGTTCGTGGGTGGCAGATAAGTTGGAGGAGGTGGTGGACTTCTTGTTGTTGGTGGTGCTGGTGGACGCGTCACCGGTGGCGCTGGCTTTCTTGTTGTTGGTTCAGGGAATGGAATAACAGGTGGTGGATAGTCGTAGCCCTCTGCTCCACGCGCTTTTCGCTAAAATAAAGTCAATAAAATGATTTTGTGAATGCGTTAGAAGACAAAAAAATAGTTATGTCATCGGTTATTGAGTTACTCACCACAAGTGTATCCGCGCTGCCATCGGCGAGAATACCGGCGACGCAAAGCGCCAAAATTATAAATGCGCTCCTCTGTAAAACATGAAAAAAACGTTACATTTGTAGAGAAATTTTTAAGGTTTTTAATCCCTGATTTTGTTATTGGATTTATCTATTTTTTCGTTTTGTGGCATTACTGTACTTATTTTATTGGAGGTTATTTTACTTATCTTTTTTTAAATATACACATATTAATGTTATCTTTTAATGTTATCGTGTCAATATTTTTATTTATTTTATTAAACCATATTTATTGTTTTTAGTTTTGCATATATAATTTTCTATTTTACTTTATTTTTTATTACTATTTTTCAAAATTGTTTTGGTTAAATTTTTTGTGAGTAATAATACCTTTTTAATTTTTTTACTTGTTGTTTTGTTTAATATATTTAATTTTTTATTTTTTATTTAAATCGTATTTTTATATATTATTCTTTTTTGTGTTTTTTTATTCAATCTTTTTATTATTTTTTTCAGTAAAATTTTATTGGATTTTTTTGTTATATTTTTTCAGATTGTATTTTTTTTAATTTTTTTATTTTATTTTATTTTATTTTATTTTGTTATAGTTTATTTCATTTTAATTAAATTTATTTTGTTTCATTTTTTTAATTTATTTAATTTACTTTATTTCTTTTATTTTATAGGTTTTTATTTTATTTTTATTTTTATTTATGCGATTGTTTTTCCTTAGTGTTATTATATATTTAAATGTTTTATTTTGTTGTATTTTTTGTTTTTACTTTAACCTTTTTACTCTTTTATTTTCTTTCATTTTATTTATTTTGTTTTACTTTTTAAATAACTTTTTAATTTTTTGGATTTATTTTAATATGTATTTTATTACGAGTATGTATTTTAATTCAATATTTTGCCTTGTTTTATGTTATTTTATTTTAATTTATTTTATTTTATCTTACTTTATTTTAATTCATATATCTTCTTTTATGTTTTATTTTAATTTTTGTTTTCCTTTAAAAATTTTATTTTATTTTTCGTTTTTTGATTTTTTATTTTGTTGTTTTTTTATTTAATCCTTTTATATATTTTCTTTTGCTTTTTTTTGTTTATTAAATTTGATTTCCGGGTTGGTATTTTTCATATATTTTTAATTTATTTTATTTCATTTTGTTTTATTTTATTTCATTTTAATTAAATTTATTTTATTTTAATTTATACTTTTTTTATATTATTTTGTTCTATTTTAGGTTATTATATTTTTTAAATCTTATTTTGTTTTACCTTTCAAAATATATATTTAGTTCTTTGGATTTTATGTTAATATTTATTTTATTATGATTACGTATTTTAATTTAATATTTTGTTTTGTTTTATTTTATATTCTTTTATTTTAAATTATTTTATCTTACTTTATTTAAATTTATTTATCTTATTTTATATTTTATTTTTATTTTTTTGTTTTCTTTTAAAATTTGGATATTTTTTTGTTATATATATATATTTTTTTAATTTTTTATTATTTTTTTGATTATTTTATGTTTCAATAAAACTTTTTATGTTGTTTATTGTGCTTTTCTTTTTATATTCATTTAATATTTTTATTTCTTCAATGTTTTCATTTGGTTTTATTTTTTTTTTGTCTAAGTTTTAAATTGGTTCAATTTGCTTACTTTCTTTGATGATTTGTAATATTTTTTTTTTTGTAATTTTGTTTTATTTTTTTATTTTGCTTAGTTTTGCTTTAAAATGCCTAATTCAATTTTATTTTATTTTATTTTTTATATCATAAGCTCTTAAATGAAGCATATACTATTCATTGCATCTTTAGCTATTTTGTAGTAATTAAAGCCGTACTTGAACGTTTTTGTTCTTCACCTTCAATGCCATCTCGACGAGCCCATCTGATTTGTAAAAGCTACAGTGATTAATCAAATCTTAAATAAAAAAACAAAATCACATTGTTTGCTGAGAAAATTTATTAAGACACACATGTACACACAAACATACTACGTAGAAGATATTTAGGTGTACAAAAAAGTTGCGGAAAGCCACTAGTCCGCAGGCATCAACAATATTAAATTTTAAGCCTCTTCTTTTGACAGTTAATTTTATCTGTTAATCTGCAAAAAAAAAAAACAGAATAATCATGAAAGCCGAAAATCATAATTTCCATTTATTTATACAGTATTCCGGATCTCGATTAGCATAACAATGCTCGCTGGCCATATTTTAGCATAAGTGCCCTCGTAGAACAAAAAATCGTCTACGTACACGCAAATAAATACATATGAAGAAGCAACCAAATCATTTGCAAATAAAATTAAACAACCAGTTGGTTGCTTAGGGTTAAAAGCGCTAAAATTAATTTTCGAAATGTAAGGTATATATTTTCTTTTTTATTTTTGCTTTCTCATATCTCGAAACAAAATAGCCCCAACCAGCAATAAACATGTCTAACGACTTTTTCAATGAATTTTTGAATACCTAAGTACAACAAATTATACAAAATTTTGTTTTTTTTTTCTGGCTAAAACGCGCACACATTTTGGCTTCGAACGAAAGATGCTAAACTTAATTTATGTTAATTGATTGTTCTTTGTATTAGCAGCCAGCCACAAGTAATGCTTTATTGGATCTTTGACGGCCTTGCAAGTTGTACGAGTTTTATGGCTGGCTCTTTATTTTACTTAATTAAAAAGAGACGCTTTTGTGGTGCGCCTGCGTGCGTCTGTCTATGCATTTCTTAAGTCATTTGTCAGTTCTTCCATCTATGCAGTACTTTTTCTATCAGTTTAACAAAAGTGAAAGGAATTAGAATATTAATTACTTGCAGTTGGAACAATGAAGCTGCTGAGTTTTTAATTAAATATATTACGGTTAATTTTAACTGGTTTAGTTATATGTAAGACCGTTTTATAATGAAGTGTGTAATCAATAAATGTCTGCGATTTTTTACGATGCTTAACTAATTAATTGATAATCTGCGAGTTGAGGAGAATACCGTATGATCTTGTTTCAATTTGTGCTTCAATAACTCGGTTGTTAATTATTTTTTTGTGATAAAAAATTGCTTAAATTTTTTCCTCAGTTGGCATTGTACTTATTTTTCTTTTGCTGTATTTATTTCACTTCATAAAGTTACGATAAAAAGAAGCAGAACATAGAACTTGATGGAAATAGAGTAATCCAGAAGATAGGCAATCTTCAAGTCAACTCATTAAGTGCTAGTTCAAGTACAGTCAACGCGTTGCCATTTAAACCTTTAGAATCCCGTAAACGTATTTTACGTATTTATTTATTTTTTTGCCTAAAAAAGGGTTGTGTGTACATATGTCTCAACCTCGGTCCTAATACATCCTTTCGGGACCTCTTTACTCAGTGAGCCTGCCTGCTCGAATTTTTTTTCTTTAAATATGATTAATGAGTTTGAAATTTTGATGAAATTTTTTTTAATTTTTTCCAAAGTTAAAAATTTTAATTTTTTTTTTTTTGAGCTATATTTTTATTAAAAATTAACGAACAAAAAATTTACCATTAAAAACACTTTCAGTATCGTAAAAAAAAATCATTGAAAAATATAGTGCTTTTCGTAACTATAAGACACTCACATATTGACAAGATTTAACTACATATTTGTTTTATTATTTTTTAATTTTAATTATTTTATAAATAAAATTATAGTTTATTCTTTAACGAAAACCGTATGAGTCCAAGTTTTAATGTTTTTGTTTTATTAAAAAAAAAAATACCAAACTTTTGTAAAAATTTAATTTTTTTAATTATATTGCTTAGAAAAATTTTGAGTATACAGTTTTGTAGCCCATTCAATATAATAAAATGCCATTCTGAAGCAGTTGGGACTTACCGTTGATGTTTAGTATTTTTTTTTTTTTTTTTTTTTTTTGAGGATGTCAGTAATTTTCTACCATAGGAAGTTGAAGTTGCTGTTTTTGATAAACAAAAAACTATATCGTTATAATTAAATAAATAACATTAAAAAATAAATGATGAAATCTTGTTATGATAAGCACTACTTTACATCAGTGAGTTAGTGTATGTATTTTACTCGTCACTACCCAGCCAGTCTTAAATTTAAATTGCTAAGTCAATATCGTTTATTTATCTGTTTTCACATGCTCCCTGTGTTTACAAATACTAATTTGTATCAGATAAGTTTTACATAAAGTAATTTTTACTGATCAGATGTAAAAAAAAATATTTACCACTGCCTACAGCATTAATTTCAAGCTAATTCAAATATAATATATCCGACTGCATTATGTTCAATTAAGAGGCTCAACCAATTTGTAAAACGTATGCAAATTAGCAGCTCATTTCATTCACATGCATATTTTGGACTTTCTTTATAACTTTTGTGATATTAGTTTGAGATAGGTGTGGTTTGCATACGTAAATATGTAAATT